AAAGTTAGGTAAGTTGAAATTCCCTAATATAATCACCCATGTTTGTTTTTACACACCTCAGTGAATTGTCTCCAGGTCTGCTCCCCTGTTGCCTGTTGACTGTTTGACAGTCTGTAGTATACTCCCAGCAGTGTGACTGCCACCTTTTCAGTCCTAAGCTCTATCCATAAACCTCCATTTGAAGACCATTCCAGGATATCCTCCTTCCTTCATGAAGTAACTGACTCCTTAATAATAATGCAACACAACCTCCTCTTTTACACTCTCCCAAGCCCTGCCTGAAACCCCTATACCTTGGAATGTGGAGTTATCAGTTCTGCCCCTCCCTCTGCCACATCTGTGATGGCAGTAACATTGTAATTCCACATGTCAATCCATGCCCTCAACTCACTTGTCTTACTCCTGACATTAAAGTAGAGGCCATCCAGTCTTGCCTTACTCCCTTGAGCCACAACATGGATGAATTCCCTCTGCCTTGATTGCTTTACTAAAATATACTGTGTCCTTACTCTCCTAACAATCTGTGTCCCCTCTTCTTATAGAATTGCTTTGAATTCCCTCCAACAGCACTAACAGACCCACCCACAAAGACAGTAAGAACCGCCAATGCTGGAGTCAAAGATAACACAGTGAAGAAAGGTCCCGGCACAAAACGTCAACTTTCCTGCTCCTCTGATGCTGGCTGGCCTGCTGTGTTCCTCCAACTCCACAAAGAAGTTGGTCTCATTTTGGATCAGGTAGATATGGTCTGAACTGCTCCGTTTTCTATAATGCTGTTTTCAAATCTCAGTAGTTTCATCCCTCAACCGATCTTCATGAATCATTGACACAATCTTCTATTAATTCATACAGAAACATAAAAAATAGAAACAGGAGTAGGCCATTCAACCTTTTTAGTCTGCTCAACCATTCAATATGATCATGGCTGTTCATCCTACTTGTTCCTGCCTTCTCCCCACAACCCTAAGGATTATATTTAACTAATGTGTGCTCTTGAAAATATTCAATGTTTTACCCTCATCCACTTTCTGTGGCAGAGAATTCCACAGGCTCATCAACCTCTGCACGGAGAAATTTCTCCCCATCTCAGTCTTAACTGGCCTACCCTGTACCCTTAGACAGACCCTGGTTCTCGATTCTTTGGTCATCTGGAACATCATTCCTGCATTTACCCTGTCTAGTTTTGTTAGAATTTTCTATGTGATTCCCCTCTCATTCTTCTAAACTCCAGTGAATATAATCCTAACTGATACAATCTCTCTTCTAATGTCAGTTCTACCATCCCAGAAGTCAGTCTGGGAAACATTTGCTGTACTCCCTCCTTAGTGAGAACATCCTTCCTCAGTTATGGAGACTAAAACTGCATACAATACTCCAGGGCGGTCTCACCAAGGCGTTTTACAGGTGCAGCAAAATATCCTACTCCTATGCTCCAGTACTCTCACTATGAAGGCCAATTTACCAATTTCTTTCTTCACTACCTGCTGCACCTGCATGCTTACTTTCAGCAACTGATGTACAAGGACATCCAGGTCTTGCTGTACCTCTCCCTTGCCTAATCTATTGCTGTTCGGATAATAATCCACCTTGCTGTTTTGCTCCAACAGCGAATTTATCCTCATTATATTTCATCTTCCATGCATTTTCCCAGTCACCCAAATTGTCCAAGTCACACAGAAACAGCTCTGCATCCTCTTCTCAGTTTACTCTCTCACTCAGTTATGTGTCATCTTTAAACTTGGAGCTTTTACATTTTGTCCTCTCTTCTAAGTCATTGATATACATTGTGAATAGCTGGGGTCCAAGCACAAGTCCCTGTGGTATCCCACTAGTCACTGCCTGGCACTGGGAAAAAAGACATGATTATTCCTACTCTTTTCTTGCCTTCTGCCAACCAGTTCTATATCCATGTCAGTACATTAACCCAATCCCATGTGCTTTAATTTTACACACTAATCTCTAATGAGGGACCTTAACAAATGCTTTTTGAAAGTCAAGTTGATTCGTATCCACTAGCTCCCCGTTATCAACTCTACTCGTTACATCCTCAAAAAACTTCAGATTTGTGAAGTGTGATTTTCTGACATAAATCCATCCTGTCTCTCAGGGGTGCTGAATTAAACCTGGCTGTTTCTAAACTCTTATTTATTTTGAGATTGAAGGCCTTTAGAACTCTTCAAATTTGTAAGATTCTTCCTTACTTCCTTGCCTTGCAATCATATAATTGCTGGATCTCCAAAATAATAAAGAAGCTGGTTAACTTGTATTTCAGGTTTGCTGTTTAATTTTGAAGAAATTCTATATCTTAAAAATCTCTTTTTTAACAATGCCATGTTTTATAGAAGCATAGAAACGTAGAAGATAGGAGCAGGAGGAAGCCATTCAGCTCTTCCAGCCTGCTCTGCTATTCTTCACGATCATGTTGATCGTCCAACTCAATAGCCTAATCCTGTTTTCTCCCCATAATCTTTGATCCCAGTCACCCCAAGTGCGATATCAAGTTGTTTCTTGAATACATTCAATGTTTTGGCATCAACTACTTCCTGTAATAATGAATTTCACAGGCTCACCACTCTTTGGGTGAAGAAATTTCTCCTCATCTCCGTCCTAAATCATCTACCCTGAATCCTCATGCTGTGACCCTTGGTTCTGGACACACCTACCATTGGGAACATATTCCCTGCATCTACCCTGTCCAGTCCTGTTAGGATTTTATACGTCTCAATGAGATTCCCCCTCTTCATCTGAACTCTACCGAAAACAATCCTAAACTAGTCAATCTCTCCTCATACGTTAGTCCCACCATCCCCAGAATCAGCCTGGTAGACCTTTGCAGCACTCCCTTGAAAGCAAGAGCATCCTTCCTCAGAAAAGGGGACCAAAATTGCACATAATATTCTAGGTGTGGTTCACCAACGGCCTGCATAATTGCAGCAAAAAAGCCCTGCTCCTGTACTCGAAACCTTTCGCAATGAAGGCCAACATACCAGTTGCCTTCTTTACTACCTGCTGCACCTGTATACCTACCTTCAGCAACTGGTGCACAAGGACACCCAGGTCCCACTGCACACTCCCCTCTCCCAATTTACAGCCATTCAGGTAGTAATCTGGCTTCTTGTTTTTGCTTCCGAAGTGAATAACCTCACATTTATCCAAATAATACTGCATCTGCCATTGACTTGTCCACTCCCCCAACCTGCCGAGATCATGCTGAAGGATCTCTGCATCCTTGTCACTGTGCACTCTCCCAGTCAAGTGGGTATCACCTGCAAATTTGGAGATGTTACATTCTGTTCCCTCATCCAAATCATTAATATATATTGTGAATAGTTGGGTTTCCAGTCCCGATCCCTGTGGCATGTCAGATTTAGTCTGTTGATGAGTTAATGAGTTGATGAGTTCCTGCCTGAGAACTTTTCTTTTCTAAAGTTACTAGTTGTATCTATTTCATTCTTTAAAACTTTTTTAGCAATTGAATTAAAAAAAAAACTAGAGGTCACAATTTCAAGATTTTCAACAAGAGAACTAGGAGTGACATTAGGAGAAACTACTCTGAGAGTTGTTAGGATTTGCAATGCGCTGCCAGGGAGAGTGGTGGAGGCAGATTCCATAGGAGGTTTCAAAAGAGAACTGGATATATATTTGAAAGTAATGAATTTAGGGGTAGGGTTAGACAGTGGGCCTAGCTGGGTAGCTCTTTTGAGACACGATAGGTCGAATGGTTTCCTTCTGTACTGTAAAAGTCAATGATTCTATTCTGTGAGATCTTGTTTTTGAACCTTGCTATGATCCTCAATTTATTTTCAACATTTTAACTATTAGATCTTGTTCTGCATTGAAAACGATATGAACAATTTAAAATGTTTAATTAACTTTTGAAAGATGAATCTGATTTTTCTCCATGCATCCAGCCATATTCTGAGCAATTATTCTTCAAGATTATTCTTCAAGGTTACTCTTATAACCTATTTTAACAAAGGACAATGGACTCCAAGCATTTTACATTTCACTAGAGGGTGCGTCTATTGAAAAGTCATCAATGATGTTGCATCTGGGCCATTTGTGCTGCATCTGCCTTGACCTGCGAAGGGACAGAGTTATAGGAGGCAGAAATCCCATCAAAGATGAGTCAAAATTTCCAACCAACATTGAATAAACTTAGTACAAGAGAACAAGCAGCTTGAGGAGCCAGTTAACCAGATCTTATAGCTTTGAGCCACAAAAATGAACCAACCTGCCTCCTGCCACTATGGAAATTGCCCACACCTTCAACATCAACCCCTTCACCATCACCCTCCTCTCCTGCTCTTGGCCCACGTTTCAACAACAAATAGGGGGGCTTTGAATATTTTGAAATGGCATTTGTAATATGCCCACTGTTCCCAGTATGATTCCAGCACAAAACATTCTTCATAAATTTACAACTTTATTGAAGTAACCTTTAAACGATTCATGCACTATGATTATTTTTCTTGCAAAATAAATTTCCTCAAAATGAACAACTCAATGTTAAATGTAAAATGCCATGATGCAGTAAAGGTATGCAATTCCTTACCACACCAAAACGTCTGTTGGTTTTGCATTCATGGGTGTCCTGCCATTAAGATTCTGAAATCAACATTTCATAGACCATTTAAAGGTACCCTTAAAGGTCACACAATGAAGAATACCTGACAGTTCTCCCAGTGTCTTGTTAAACATTGATTCCTTTAGCAGAACCACATCAGTATCGGTCAATTCCTGATATACATTGACTGCTATATTTTAAACATTGATTCCTTTAGCAGAACCACATCAGTATCGGTCAATTCCTGATATACATTGACTGCTATATTTTCTAATATATCAGCCGCTTGCCAAACCTGTCTCATTCACTGAAGTACTTTGTGATAATGTTTGACATAAATGTAGGCATCACAAGATAAAAAACAATTCCATTCTAATTCATCTTACTCCAAAACTGTTTGGGTATAATATATTTCAGAAAAGGTATGCCTTACTTCACTCCAATTGCTCACAGTCCAGTTTGACGGACATGGAATATCTCTTTTGCAAGTCATTTGAGTCCTTGGCTTGAGACGCTGATTGCACTCTGAACTAGGAAGTGCCTGCTCATCGGTCCCCACTGTTCGAACACAGAGAACTGTACGCTTCTTAATACCTGAGTCACCGCATGTTGTTGAGCATTTCTGCCATTCACCAGCCCACCACCTGTAAAAACAAATATCAAATGATAAGATTTACAAATGATAAGAGAAAATATACACTTTATTAATTCTGAATTTGTAAAATTAACAAGAACTTGGGACATCACCTTTTGCACATTGTCGTTTCTCTGCAAAAATGTTTCAGATAGATGGAACCCAATAAGATGACTTGAAATATATTCATTTAGCACTTTACATGCTTGGACCATCTAACGATCAGCTACAACTGCAGGAGCATAATATCCATGATTTTTTTGGAGACATAAGGTGAATTATACACACCTCTGCTGGTGGGATCATTAAATCCAGTGGTTGCATATCCACCACCTACACACCCAGCCCTCCCCTCACCACCACTAAACTAGTGGGCGTGGCGGTGACAGATGGCCCACCCACCAGTCATCGAGGTCTATGACTCAGAAAAAGACCCTTCAGCTCATCAATTCTGTGCTAGTCCAAAACAAGCACCCAACTATTCCAATTCCAATTTCCAGCACTTAGCCCAGGGCTTTGCATGGCTTGGCATCACAAGTGCACATCTAATTACTTCAGAACTATTATGAGGGTTTCTGCCTCTACCACCTTTAAAAACAATAAGTTCCAGATTTCCAGCACCCTCTGGGAGATTTTTTTTCCCCTCACCTCCCCTAACCCTTTACCTTAAATCCCCTGATCATTGATCACTCCACTTGGGGAAAAGTTTCTTCCTGTTTATGCCCCTCATAACTTTAAACATCTTAATCGTGTCCCCTCCTCAATCTCCTCTGCTTCAAGGAAAACAACCCCAGTCTGTCCAATCTCTCTTCTGGAGTAAAGCTCTCCAGCTCAGGCAACATCCTGCTAAATCTTCCCTATGCCCTATGCAGTGTGATTACATCCCTCTGGCAATGTGGATTCCAGAATTGCATACAATAGTCTAGCTGTGGTCTACCCAACATTTTACACTCTTCTTCTATGCCTTGGCTAATAGAGCATATGTCTTTTAACCACTTTATCCACTAATCATGCGATGTCAAGGGACTACAGGACATGCACAGCAAGATCCCTCTGTTCCCCAGCGCTCTCAGGGTCCCACAAGTCAATCTGTATTTCCTCTGCTTGTCCTGCCCATGTGCATCACTTCACACTTATCCGGATTAAATTCCATTTGCTGTTGATCGGCTCATCTGAACAGCCCATCGATATCCCCGTGTAATCTAAGATTATTCTTCTCACTATTTACCACCCAGCCAATTTTTGCATCATCTGTGAATTTACAGGTTAGCTTTCCTCCAGTCAGTCTGAATCATTTATATAAACCACAAACAGCAAGGGTCCCAACACTGATCCCTGCAGAACTCCTCTGTGCATAGGCTTCCAGTTACAAAAACACCTCTTGACCATCATCCTCTGCTTCTAGCCAATTCCAGTTTCCTCCGGGTACTCCAGTTTCATCCCACAGTCCAAAGATGTGCAGATTAGGTGGATTATCCATGGTAAATGCAGGGTTAAGGGGAATAGGGTAGAGGTCTGGGTAGGATGCTCTTTGAGGTCTGGGTAGGATGCTCTTTGGAGGGTCAGCGCAGACTCAATGGGCTGAATAGCCTCTTTCCACGCTATAGGGACCTATGTTACAAAGATTAGCCAGGTTGTCAACAGTGAAGAAGAATGTTTTAGATTACATGAGGATATAAATGGTTTGGTTAGTTGGGTAGAATAGTTGCAAATGGAATTTAACGCCGAACACTGTGAGATGATGAACTTCCAAACACATAAGAAGACGAGGGGTACCCATTGAATGGCAGGGCACTAGGAAGTTCCAAGGCATACAGAGATCTTGTCCACAGATCTGTGAAGCTGGCAGGATAGGTTAACAGGATAGTTAAGAAGGCATACGGGACATTTGTCTTTATCAGCTGTGGCACAGATTATAAGAGCAGGCATGTTATGTTGGAGCTGTACAGAACTTTGGTTAGTCCACAGCTGGAGTCCTGTTTGCAGTTCTGGTCACAGTGCAACAGAAAGGGTGTGATTGCACTGGAGGAAGTGCAGAGGAGATACACCAGAATATTGCCTGAGATGGAGCATTTCAGCTATGAAGAGGGGGTGGAAAAGCTCGAGTTGTTTTCTTCAGAGTGGAGAAGGAGGTCTGATTATGGTGGACAGGATGGATAGAAAGCAACTGATCCCCTTAGACAAAGGGTCAATAATGAGAGGGCATAATTTTAAAGTGAAAGGCAAGATGCCTAGTGCAGATATGAGGATTAATTTTACCCAGAATCTGGAATGCACTGCCTGGGAGGGGAGTGATATGGGAAACATCACATCCTTTAAAAATTACGTGGATGAACATCTGAAATGTCATAACATGCAAGGCTGTGGGCCAAGTGTGGGAAAGTGAGTCTAACGTGGATGTACAGTAGTTTTTTTGTCAGTGCAGATTTGATAGGCCAAAGACCTCTTCTGAACTGTTTGATTTTATGATTCTATCCCATTTGATAAAGGAAAATGTGCATTCAACAGAATAATGGATCAAGACCTGATCCATGTGTAAAGTAAAGTGATCATAGTCCCAAAGGACCATAGGGTTGCTCTCCCATTAGAGAGAGAGAGAGAGGTCTGGTGGTGTTTTAACCTGAGGGGCATGATGCATCAGGCAAGGGGAAAGGTTGAGGAGGAGGGGCCTTCATGGTAACCTCAGCCATCCAGCTAGCTGTGATAAACTGACTGCCTGAGCCACGTGTAAAGCACCCCAAAAACCTTTGCATGTGACTCGTTACATTCTTTGATTTAATGTTTTCAAGATTTCTTATTCGATTTGTGACTCTTTAGCAAATGTATGCAGCTGACCTTTCTAATTTAATCTCTCCTCAATGTAATTTCTTAATTCCATATTTCATCCTCCATGGTTTTTACTCTTATCATTTGATTAAGCCAACCGAATAGCATGAATGTGGATGATAAACAATGCAGATACGCTCAGAAAGCTTCATAAATTAATCAAGATATAAAAACATGCATTATGAATTGATACTAGCATAGTATTTTATGGATCTGATGCGTTTATTGGGAATTTGCATTCAGAGACCAAAGGCTGGGAGCTTGCAGGGAATTTTCTGACTAATAAAACAAACAACTTGAACCATCTCACCATAATTTTAATGATAGTGACCATAACAATGTGCTTTCTAAGTTTGTTAAGGAAAAGGAAAAAGATGGCCTGCAAGAAAGTGTATTGGATTGTGGGAAAAGCAGATTTTATTAAATAAGGCAGCATCTGGTCAAAGTAGACTGGGAACAACTACTTGAGGATAAATCTACAACAGAACAGTGGGAGGCATTCAAAAAGGAACTGGGGAGAGGACAGGCCCAACATGTTCCTTTTCAGGTGAAATGTAGGAGCAACAAGCCCAGAGAATCCTGAATGTCTAGGAATACGAAGGTCTAAATAAAAAGGAAAACAGAGACATCTAACATGTACAAAGGGAACAAATCAATGGAGGCCTGAGTGGAGTATAGAGCATGTGGGACTTAAGAAGGAGAGCAAAGGCTGGGCATGAAAAAACCATCGATGAGCAAAATTAGGGAAAATGCCAAGATTTTCTATTAGTACATCAAGGGGAAGTGAATAATCAAGGAAAGGGTAGTGCCCATTAGGGATCCAGAGGGAAATCTATACACAGAGCTGGAGACATTGCTAGAGTGTTAACAAGTATTGCACAACTGTTTTCACAGGAGGAGGCAGGATGTAGGTACAGTGGAAGGTGGATTGTGAGTTCAGAGCCTGGATTAGTACATGGAACTACGATATTGCAGCCATTACAGAAACTTGGTTGATAGAGAGGCCAGACTGGCAGCTCAACGTTCCAGGATTTAGATGTTCCAGGTGCGACAGAGAGGGACGTAAAAAGGATGGAGAATGTCACAGCTACACTAAGTTCTCCAATACTGACTCAGACTCCCTTAGTGCCAGAGACTTAGAAGGGGCAGAATTTGTTAGGTCCATCCAGGACGGTTTCTTGAAATAACACACAGATAGTCCAACAAGGGAAGAGGCCGTACTAGGAAAGGGAGAAGACTGTTGGGGCCTTGTCAGAGATCTTTGTATTTTCTTTAGGTGAGGTCCCAGAAGACTGGAGAATAGCCAGTGTTGTTGCTTTGTTTGAGAAGGGCAACAGGGATAATCCAGGAAATTATAGTCCAGTGTCCCTTACATTACTTCTAAGGAAATAACTGGAGAGGATTCTTCGTGACAGGATTAACTTGCATTTGGAGAAGAATGGACATATTAGGGATAGTCAGCTTGTCTTCTTGCAAGGGATGATTTACTCACAAATTTGAGTTTTTTGAGGACGTGGCAAAGTTGACTGATGAGGGTGGGACAGTGGATATTGTCTACGTGGACTCTACTAAAGCATTTAGCAAGGTCCTTCATGGTAGTTTGCTCCAGAAGATTAAGTC